AAGGCTGGACTATGGGAACTCTCTCCTCGCCGGCCTTCCCGGCACCTCCCTCCACAAGCTGCAGGTCATTCAGAACTCTGCAGCTCGTGTACTGTCCCGCACCAGGCTTCGGGACCACATCACTCCCACCCTCGCTCGCCTCCACTGGCTCCCCATCCCCCAGAGGATCGAATTCAAGATCCTCATCCTCACCTACAAGGCCATTCACGGCCTTGCTCCCTCCTACCTCTCCGACCTACTATCCCCCTACCTACCTGCCCGTACCCTCCGTTCCTCTGGCTCCGGTCTGCTCCACATCCCCCGCCCCAACCGCCCTACCATCGGTGGCCGGGCCTTCAGCCTCTCAGCCCCTAGGCTCTGGAACTCCATCCCCCAGTGCCTTCGCCGCCTCCTCCCTTTCCTCCTTCAAGGCCGGTCTCAAGACCTTTCTCTTTGACCGAGCCTTCAGCTCCCCTCTCGACTCTCTACCCCCTTCTCGCTCCCTCCCTTCCTCCCCTCACCCTGACCATTTCCCCCTTGCTCGGGTCCTGACCCAACTGTACAGCGTCTTGGGACGTTCTCCCGACGTGAAAGGCGCTCAATAAATGGAATCTTGTTGTTGTTGTATTTGTGGAGAAAATGCGACACCAATTGCAGTAATTCCACAAACAGTCGTGGATTGAAGTGACCAATTTATTATTGTTTTTTTTCTTGAGGGTTTGTTATCAGGCGTGTGGAGTAAGGAAACTTGCACAAGGTTTCGCTCTGCCGGGAATCAAACCCAGGTCTCTCGCTTGCGAGGTGAGTGCTCTAATCACTGAGCTACAGGACTCCACAATAACAACAACAAAGGCGAGGAATGCACACCAATCTGATGCCTAGGTTAAATGTCATCCACGTAATGTTTTAACGTAAAACAACAACTTGCATTTATATAGCTCTCTTCACGTGGGATAGCATCCTGAAAACACCAGGAATGAACAGCTAACTGAAAATGAATAATGACTATTTTGTGACTCACACAAGCTAATTGAAATACAACTGCATTAGTACTAATGAACATATTTAATTGCCAGCTGTGTTTTTAAAAGTCCAATTTGATCATAACTTTCTACCTATTGCTGAGAATGCTCATCTGTGAACACACTGGACTTTTTAGCAGATTTACACAATCATTTACATTTCTATTATATTCGAAGTATAAGTCGCTCAGGGACCAAGATGCAGATTGGCCACATGTTGTCCATTTTTGGTTTAAAAATATAACCTTATTGTGATATTATGAAAAGAAACACTGGCTCTAAATCTTCAAGTGGGTTTGCAACTGTCTCATTGCTTTGAATCAAAAGTCACATTCCTAACATTTCCTGACGTTAACAGCTCTGTGTTACACACTAGAAGCAAGACTCAGTAACAACTGATGGAGATGGAGGATCTGTGTCTCGCATGTCCTTCTATACCTTTTTGAGACCCTTTTGAGATCATAGAATCATCACAGAATCCTACAGCACAGTTTCATTTGGCCCATCCTGCCTGTGCTGGCTCTTTGAAAGAGCTATCCAATTAGTCTCGCTTCCCTGCTCTTTCCCCACAGCTTTGCAATTTTTGTTTCTTTCAAGTATCTATCCAATTCTCTTTTGAAAGTTATTACTGAATCTGCTTCCACCCTTTTAGGCAGTGCATTCCGGATCGTAACAACATGCTGCATTACAAAAATTCTCCTCACCTCCCCTCTGGTTCTTTTACCAATTATCCTGAATCTGTGTCCTCTGGTTACCGTCCCACCCGCCAATTGAAACTGATGTTGGGGCTAAGGGAATGTTGTCTGTGGGGCAGTTAGAGTAGAACAGCAAACGTATAGTTTTCTTAAAACAGGTCTATACCTGTTTTGAGAAAACTATTTATGCAGAGCTTTCTACTGGAGATGAATTGGGTGGACAGTCATGACAGGGCAGACTCCACATGGTCCATGAAAGGTACGGCGTAGATGGGTGAATAAATGGCCATTTTTCAACTCGTGGTTTTTTTAGGCTCTTGAGAAACCAATGAATTGCATCCCCAGGAACTCTCAGAAAGTCTCCACTTACATCCAACATTCACCACGTGCAGGTGGTGAGGAATTTTAAAATTATTCCACTGGCTCCCTATCAAGGAATGGATCAATTTCAAGATCCTCACGCTCGCCTTCAAATTCGTTCATACCCTGACACCTCCCTACCTCTCCGACCTGCTTACTCCCCTGCGCACTACCCGCCACCTTCGCTCCACTGGCTCTGGCCTCCTGCAAATCCCTCGAGCCCACCTGCAAATGCCCTTGTGCCCCGAAACTCTGAAACACTCTTCCTCTATCCCTCCGTCTTGCCCCTTCCTTCCCCATCTTCAGGTCGCGCCTGAAGACCTTCCTCTTTTACCGTGCCTATGGTCACCTCCCCCCTCTCCCTGGCTTGGCGTCGTGCTCCACCGTCAAACGTTCTGGGACTCTACCCTGCATGAGGGATGCTATATAAATGCAATTTGTCGTTATTTTGATAAATCCAAACGGGGGAATCATTTATATTCAGCATTTGATTTTCTCTTTCCCAAACATTGTGCATTTTCAATAAATAATGCAATAATTTCAATAAATAATCCATCCCCTTCGCGTATGTTGTTTGATGATGCATTGTGCTTTTCAAATGCCCATCTTATAAATGTTGTGTTGTGAAGGTTTTCATTACAGCATTTGATTCAAAGTATTTGCAGACAATCTGAAAATCAGAACTGCTCAACAGAAATGCTAAAGCATGCAACAACAACTTGCATTTATATAGCGCCCCTAAATGCAAGTCAGAGAAAACGGCAGATGCCCGTGAAATATTAATTTTATCAAAGCGAGGCATCTTGTTAAGGTATGACAGCAATTCATTGAGGTATGATATGTCCCAAATCCATTCCAAATAGGACTTAAAATATTTGTGGATATCTTGAAATTATTTCAGGTATGTTTTTACGGATTCCAGATGATTTCTCTTCAATAAACAAGTTCTCAGATATAGATTTGAGGTACCTTAAAAGGACTGAAGATTTTGCAAAATATGTGACATTTTTAAACATCTTTAAATCAATGTGGCATCTCTAGTTATAAAGAAGGTATTCAGAGAGATGCAGCCATTTTCAAATGTGGCCACCATGGTTGTAAGTGGCCACACACCCGCCTGATTATGTGTGGCCACAGCAGCCCCCTACCCTGGGTTGGGGGGGTGGGGGGGTGTGGGGGAGAGCGGAGAGAGTGTGTGGGGCGCAGTGCATGCTGGACTTTTCAGTTCAAGCACGTTTTGGCCCGGGCAGAGCTGCTGTGGGCGGCTGGACCATGGCTTCTGGTAGGGCATGTGTGCAGGTCTCTCTCTCCCTCTCTGTCTCTCCTCACACGCTGGCTGGCTCGAGAATAGAGGACATAACGCAGATTACGAAAAGTCACACTAAGTTTTCGTGGCCGCACACTGAGGTCATCATAAAACATTTTTTTGAGAACCACTGGCCTATACCCTGAGCTTATGTTTTGTGCAATGCTCTTCAATTCACTTTAGGAGCGATGTCAAGAGCTTGGAGAGAGTGCAAAGAAAATTAACCAGAATGGTACCAGGGATGAGAGACTTCAGTTATGTGGAGAGACTAGAGAAGCTGGGATTGTTCTCCTTAGAACAGAGAAGGTTAAGGGGAGATTTAATATGGGTGTTCAAAATTATGAAGGGTTTTGATAGAGTAAATAAAGAGAAACTGTTTCCACTGGCTGGTGGGTCAGTAACCAGAGGACACAGATTCAAGATAATACATAAACAAAGGGGAGATGAGGAGAATTGTTTTGACATAGTGAGATATTACGATCTGGAATGCACTGCCTGAAAGCCAATTCAATAATAACTTTCGAAAGGAAATAGGATGGAAATGGAAAACAATACAGGGCTATGGGGAGAAAGAAGGCGAGTGGGATTAGTTAGGTAGCTCTTTCAAAGAGCCAGCACATGCATGATGAGCTGAATGGCCTCCTTCTGTGCTGTAGGATTCTGTGATTCAAACTGAACCCAACTTAGTTGGCACCCATCTCCAGAGCAGTAGTCAGAGTTGAAGTGTTTACCAGTGAGTTTGACGGAGGGGTTAACAAGTAGAACAGAAAGCAAGAGAGCGGGTTTGGTAGCTCTGGTCATTGTTCCCTGGGCAGGATTTGCTTGTCTGGCTTCTCAGCAGCAATTCCATCATTTTAAAAAAATGGGGAGGGCGCGTAAATAAAGCTCATTGATGGGCTTCTTGGAAAATGTTAGTCTTCAGTCTCGCTTGCTTGCTCTCAGCTGTGTGCATTCTTTCTCTCTCTGCTTTAATGAGTGGAGGACAAGATATCTTTGTTCCAATGTTTTCTGACCTAGAAATGATTCAATGAAATGACTCCAGCATTCATCTTCTGAGCTCTCTTACAATCTTGTTTTAAAATGTTTTCTCTTTTCTACATCCAAGTTTTCAACGTTCTCCAAACTCAGTTTCAATGAACAGCAGTTATTTTGCTGTGTGTAAGATTTGCATTTGCCTGCTGGGTGTTTGGTGCTCATTGCAAGAGGCCATTTAGTCCATTGAGTCAATCCCAATCCCCTGCTTTTTTTCTGTACTCTTTTAAGTGTGCTTCATCTTCTGAGCTATCCTACAATATTTTAAAATGTTTTCACTTTCCTATGTCCATCCGCACATAAAAGCATCATATTTCAGTTTCCCGTTTAAACCTCTCTAAATACTGCATGTTCAAACTTACTACTTTCACTCACTGGTTTCAATGTACTCAAGACTAAATATCATCACTGCACACAGTACATGAGGGTTCTCAATCATGCTGTTCTTTTACACAGTAAATAGAAGTAATAGAAGTAGAAGGAGCTGGGGAAATAAATTTCATAAACTCAGGTGCTCTGGTGGAATGCAAACCAGGCCTGACTTGTATAAACTCACTAAACATTCCTAGATTTTTACATGTAAAGTATTACATGTGGCCAACTTACTATCATGATCTTCTAGGATCACAGAGAATAAGAAATCTCTTGGAGTCATGTACAAATCCCCTTCATACTCCATTGAGGCGTACTGTTTGAAACGCAGTTTGCGAGTTGAAGCACTTCCTTCTTTCACATCTTCTTTTGGCTTGTCTTTAACCTTAAAAGATAAATAAGAGCTTTATTAAAACAAACTATTAATTTTCAATTATGCTTTGCCAAATGATAAAAAAAATTCTTGTATTTGATATAGAGCCACATCACATTATCGAAACGTCTCAAAGCGCTTCAAACATTTCTGTGAAGTATAGTACAGTACTTGCATTTGTAAGCATATTTGGCAGCTAATATGAGCACAGCCAGCAAAGACCCATTTAGTGGAAGAGTGTTAGCCAAGAGACTGGCAGAAACTATTTTCTCTTTATGAATAGTGCCATGGGATCTTTAACAACCAACTGAACAGACACATGGGACCTCGGTTTAATGTTTCATCTGAAGGATGGCACCTCCAACACTGTAGCAATGCAGTAAAGTTTGAGCCTAGACTGTTATCTCAAAGTCCTGACTTAAACAACTCAATCCACTCTGTATCTATTGCATTCTGAGATATATTCTATATTCTGAAGGCCTTTTGTATAAAGATTTTCTTCTCTGACCTCCCCTTCCACTGGCTTTGTTCTAAATTTAAAGTTAGGTCTTTTATTAAGTCAGCCGTGTGTTTGACACATGCAGAAACACTGATTGTCTAGCTAGGACCACCCTACAATTAGAGCTTTGGCTTGCAGGGTTAACAAGATCAAGTAGGAAAAATGACTTTGCATAGTGACTGGTCTGCTCCTCCAAGTCCTGCCAGGCTAACTGGTCTGTTATCAATATTGTCGTGGCAAATTGTGGACCTGCCTGGCTCAGGAACTGGACTACAAAGATTGCCATAGAGGATTGCCTTAATACAGACATTCCAACGTCAGCCATGGCACCTTGGGCATTTCAGCCCCAAAGAGACCCCAGTTACCTCATCTCCCAGGAGGATAACCACAACAGTAATTGTCATTAGACATATGAACATGTCTTCTTATGCCCTCTTGTCCTGTGTTCTCCTGGATTTCCCAATTAGATTAAAATTTATATACTATATACTCCCTATATATTGTCAATAACTTTCATTATTTCAACATCTGCAGCATGGAGTCCTGTAGCTCAGTGCTAAATCAGAGTACTTGAGTGGCAAGCGAGAGGACCTGGGTTTGATTCTTGGGCAGAGCAAAACGTTGAACAAGTTTCCTTACTCCACATGCTTCTGTTTACCTAGCAGTAAATAGGAACCCAGGTGTTAGTTGATTGGCGGCTCACTTCACTGGGAAATAATAATTCCTTCAAAAAACAATAATAATTTGGTCATTCAATACACGACTGTTTGTGGGACACTGCTATGCACAATTGCTGCCGCGTTTCGCCCAGAAAATATACAGTCAATTCACTTCAAAGTATATTCTGTGAAGCACTTTTGAGACGTCTAGAAGATGTGATAAGTTACTATATCAAATGTAAGGGTTATTATAACATCTCAATCAGATCACCCATCAACCTCCTGAACTCCAATAAACAGAACCGCAATTTGCTCAGATCTTCATTACATTTCAGTCCTTTTTATCCCAGGTATCATCTTGGTGAATCATTGCTGGACTTTCTCCAAGGCCAGCATATCCTTTGTCAGCTGGAGAAACTCTACACAATATTGTATATGAGGCCTGACTACAAAATATTATACTACAGCATTACTTTCCTACTCTCACATTCTTTATCCCTTGTTGTATAAAAGCCCAATGCCAACAAGGCATTATGACCATTTTCTGTTGTGAATTACCTATATAACCAATGTATAGCTTTGCACAATGACACAAGCCTATGCTCAGAAATCTGCACATGGTTAATTCCCAATCTCAACAACAACAAATTACACTTGTATAGCGCCTATCATGTTGGAAAGACGTCCCAGAGAGCTGGACAATCAAGGGTTTTGGATCCGAGCTGGGAGTTGGGGGGTGGGAGGGTGGCTGAAGGCACGGTCGAAGAGGAAGGTCTTCAGATGGAACTTGAAGGAGGCAAGAAAGGGGGTGAGGTGGAGGGATTGTGGGATAGAGTTCCAGAGTCTGGGGGCTGAGATGCTGAATACCTGACTGCCAATGGTGGGGCGGGGAGTGCGAGGGACCTGAAGCTGGCCGGTGACCACGAAGTGAGGCTGATATGGGGTGATGAGATCAGAGAGGTAGGAGGGAGCAAGACCGTGGAGGGCTTTGAATGTAAGAACAAGGGGTTTGTACTCAATTCTCTGAGGAATGAGGAGCCAGTGAAGCCGAGCAAAAATGGGATTGATAGGTTCCCGGAGTTTGGTGCGAGAGAGGATGCGAACTGCAGAGTTCTGAAGAATCGGCAGCTTGTGAAGGGAAGAGTTGGGAAGTCCAGTGAGCAGGCAGTTGGTGTGGTCAGGCCGGGATGTAATGAAAGCGTGGATCAGGGTCTCGCTGGCCTGCAGTGAGAGGCAGTGACGGAGGCGGGCAAGGCAGAGGTGTGGAAAGGCACGAATGCAAATAGAGCCTCAATGCACAGGGAGGGAATCAATCGAAAAATAAATCAGTGAGTTAGTGATCGAAGTGCCTGCTACACACCCCCAAGTGAAGCAAGATCAGCATATTTCTGGTCGCAGGCCCCAGCCTGTATTTTTGGCCAAATATGAGCGTCAAGTAATAAAAAAAATGAATTAAATTGAAAAATAAATGAAATAAAAATCTTCCATTTGTTCTCAACTCGACTCACAGCACCTTGAGACACTCGATATGTGGCTTGGCAACAAGATCAAAACATTTTTTTTAAAAAATTGGCTCTGAAAACTATGGAAGTTCAAGCCAAGTGCTCCCAGGCAAAATTGACTGACATACTAAAATGATCACAAAAAGGCTTTGTTGAAAAAATGAATTATTGAGTACACGGCCTAAAATTATATTTTTTTTGCAAAAATTAACTGTTGACCACCAATAATTTGTACAAGCCATTAAAATGTCACCAGAATGGCAGGAATTCTGCACAGCCGCCACTTGCCAATATGCCTGGGGCTGCTTTCTAACTTTGGCAAATCTATTACTAACAGCAGCTCACAAGCTTCCAAGAATCTTCATTGTATTTATCATTCCATCTCCAATCCTTCACTCTCTTTTGTCCCACTGCACCTAAGCCTTTGTGCCCTGTTACAGCTCATTCCTCTCTCCCTAACCAGTCCGTCTCTCCTTTCCCTACTGATTTTCAGGATTGGATTCCATCGGTTACATTTAAAGTATTTTTGGCAACAAAATATACAGTTAATTCACTTTACAGTATAAGACATGATAAGGCGCTAAATCAAATGCAAGGATTATTATCATTATAAAAGTACCATAATCTCCTGATAACTCTTTGCCCCAAGAGGAAAAGGCTCAATGATGAGTTATTAGTAGTGGTGAGTTAGGCATAGGTCCTCCCGGGCCACGAGGGGGTGTTGTGACTGGTGCGGGCAATGTGCAGAGGTTGGGTACTTAGATGTATTACAGAGATCTCTAACAGTAATTACAATACAATATTACATTTATAAAGAGCCTTTCACGTCGGGAGGACATCCCAAGTCAGGGATTAGGACCAGAGTGGGTTGGGATAAGGGAGGGTGGAGGGCAGAGTGGGTAGGAGGGTGGCCAGTAGTGTGGCCGAAGGCACGGTCGAAAAGGAGAGTCTTGAGGCGCGCTTTGAAGGAGCTGAAGGAGCGAGGTGAAGGGAATGTTGGATGGAGTTCCAGAGGGTGGGGGCGGAGAGGCTCATGGCGGGGTGGGCTGGGCAGGCCGGAGCCTGCTGAGCGGAGGGAGCGGACAGGTTGATAAGGGGTTAGCAGGTTGGAGTGGGTGGGGGCGAGGCCATGGAGGGCCTTCAAGGTGAGGACGAGGATTTTGAACTCGATCCGTTGAGGGATGGGGAGCCAGTGGAGCCAGGCGAGAGTGGGTGTGATGGGGTCACAGAGCCTGATGTGGAAGAGGACACAAGCTGCAGAATACTGGATGATCTGCAACATATGGCGGGAAGAGTTGAGGAGGCCGACAAGTAATTATCTGTCATAATCACTTTTTATTATTTTCTGTTCCCTCCTGTTTGTAGGACACTGCTGTACACAATTGGCTGCCACATTTCTCCCACAAAACACACAGTCAATTCACTTGACAGTATATTATTATTATTATTCCATTTCTGTGTCTCTTTCTCCAATATACCTTACTGTTTTCTCTCTAAAGTCAGATGCAGGTCAATCTCCTAATTGCTGATTTTAGCACAACTCAGTACAAGTAGAAACTAAAAGAAACTGTAAATAAGCAAACGACATCCACGGCTCATTCCACTTCAATACCCCACATCACATAAAGTACGCTGGCAAATGAAGACAGTTAGTAAGATACAATTTAAGAGCTGCAGAACTTCAGAATTGCTTTAGTCTCGGAGGAATCATTAAATAACAGGTCCTGACAGCTATGTGATAACAATTGACTGAAGAGAGGGTTGCATTTCAGTGACCCTTCAACATACAAACACCTTGTCTCTTCAATCTGTCCCTAATCTTAGAGTCCCAGAGTAAAGTTACCCTATCTTACAAATCAGTCTGAAACCAACCAAACAAATAAATAAAATCCAATCTTTGGATTTTGGGGAAAATATCCCCAATCTTTGGGGAAAATATCAACATCTAAAACAAACACAAAATCATTTTTTCAGAAGCTGTTTTTAATGAATCAGAACCATAAAAATTTGAAGTGGTGAAGAAAGCCATTTGGCTCATCGTGTCTCTTTCAAACAGCAATATTTTACTTCCTAAAGTAAGGTTTGGACGCTTCTTAATTAAGAAATACAATAAATAAAAGAAAGGATCTGTTACCAAGCCTCCACTGTAAAATCTTAGGTGCAATAATGAGGCTTAATGTACATTTAACAACAACAACAAAATTACATTTGTATAGCACCTTTCCCGTCGGGAGGATATCCCAAGGCAACTAGGGTTTGGGATTGGGGAGGGCGGGGTGGGGGGGGGGTGAAGCGGGGTGATCGAAAGCAAGGTTGAAGAGAAGGGTCCTGAGACAGATCTTGAAGGAGGCA